CTCAATACACGTACGTATTTGACATTACATAGTCATAGCTGTTACCCCCGTTAATTTTGAAGAACATACATGAAATTTGGCTATATCGTACACATCTTTCCTTCGGTATATTAGCTGAGTATAGTCAGCCCAAAAACCTGGGTTTTCTGATACACTGATGATTGTGCGTGCTGCGTCACACAGACAAATATTCTGGCCCTACAGGTTGTGGCTGACTCTCTAATGCCCCAACGTTAGAGGTGGGCGATATATATCGTTTGCGATAATATCGTCATTGTTGTTTTGACGATGTGCAAATTTCCATTATCGAGTATTTAAATTACTTCGACAAAAACAATGAAACGCCCGCGGAAACTCCTCACATCCATTAATACACGGTGCAGCAGCGCTCTCTACAGCATGGCAGGATTCAGTCACACAACTAGTGGGCCTACGTGATCACATGACGGGATCACGTGACCTCTCGCTAGCATCCTCCTTGCAACAGTTTAGCAGCGCGTTGCGATGGTAGAGAGAAAATGCAAACACCTCCAGTCCCTGAAGCTACCGGTACTTCAGATGATTTAGTGCCGAGACGTGGGTCCTATGGGCTTCAGCGTTCAGAGCGCTAAGCGCCTTCAGTGGTAAAAAGATTTCAGCGGAGACGGGGTTTTTTTAGCGCAGCGCTCAGAGTGCTTCAAGTTGAAATCTGTTCAACTTTTAACACCGCTGGGTGCTCGGAAAATGAGTTTTTGAGCTCTCTCAGCGCTGTAAACGCGTTTGGTGGACACAAGTCCAGCTCAGACAATTCTAATCACAATTTAAAGGATATCGACTGATTATCGTTATCGCCAAAATCCCAAAAAATATTGAGATATTATTTTTTGCCCATATCGCCCACCCCTACCCAACGTCCCTCTTGCTCCTTTCCCCTCTGTGTCTTCATCATGGGAGCAGTCCTGGTCGTAGCCGCTGTAAAAACTGTCGTCAAACTGGTCACGATAAACCTGTAAGTCACAGAGATCGATGTGAACATTACCGGGCTCTACGGTTGGTTTTACTTCTCGCTCAGTCCTTGGCTCAGTGTGTGTACTGCCGCAAAAAAACAAACAACTGGCAATGGACACAGCCAATCACCAATATTCAATCGATCGCCCAACACTACTCTGCCTAGTTCTCTCTCTCAAACACAAACTTACAACGACTAGTAGCAATTTGAACTGTGTACGTCATCCAAAGGTTTAAAAGCACTGCCACATAGACGCTCAACTACTGGACGTCCTTGACTCCGGGCACATTCAGACATGCACACGCAGCCTCTTATCAGTGTCTTGGAGATAACCGTTTCCCTGATTTCCTAAATATATCCACAACTACACACACACACACACACACACACACACTACCCTGTACATACCCTGACACACATGTGGCTCAGCTCAAGGGTGGATATTTCTATTTTTGTGACCCATGCAGTCCACAAGGGCTTAGCTGCAACCACGATCAGTGTGGTCATTGGGAGAGAGGTTAACTCAGCCCATTAAAGTTCTCCACTGGGAGATCCAGGGTTAATGCCTGGGAGAGAGTGAAAGTGAGTGGGGCTGATTCTGGTGGGGCTAATCCACCAGGACCACCATAATAGAAAGAGCTACGATATTAGCCTTAGGATTAAATCTCTAGAATGAAAAGGACATAGAAGAACTGTGCTTTTAAAAAATTGCACCAGTAATGCTGATTAATTTACAGAGAGGACAAGAACAATGGCTCATGTTGTTATCCCCTTAAACATGAGAACTGAAATTGAGATTCTTTCACACTTTGTTGTTATTCTCTAATCAGTCTGTTCCTTAAAAACACTCAAATCAAATTGAAGTGATACCTGGGTCCAATACGGGGTTTCCCTTTTGGTGGTAGGTCAACCCTTTTTGTTTTTTTACATATGGAAAGTGATAGGAACATATTTCTGACTGTGAAAGGACGTGAGGCAGTAATCATTTCACTAACAGATAAGAAATTTGAATCAATATGCTGAATTTTGCTTAATTTACCACCACCTCAGTGTCCACAGGTTGGCTGAAATCTCCCCAGCATGACTAACCAATTCTGTCATCTGAAGGTGGTCAGCCTTCCGCTGCTGATAGCCCACGCGGACAAACAAACAGTCAGCAGAGCACATATAGTGGGCAAACCTAGCTTCTTGCTAACTTAAAACCTGTGCTGTGCAATCACCCACTGACAAGCCTTCAGCTATCATTAACTTAACTAGATTAACGAATACAGCAGGAGGGCAAACAAGACGGACACGATCCACTCTTCAACAGGTCAACAAGCTCATGATGAACGAAGCACTTCTCACTGGAAAAAATATAACCAGCGATAATTGGGTAACCTGCTCTTTTGTAATCACAGAGTGCTTAACCTCACACAGAACTGAAGTGCAGGTTAAAATATAACAAGTGAGAGTATATTTACATAGTATGTCCTTAGCACCAACATCCCTTTATAGTAGGTGTACAGTGGGGATAAGAGAGTGAAAGGAAGGTTTATGATCAACACCTTCAGCAGACTATAATCTTTGGCCTTTGCATTTTGCACTGTAATACATCTCTGATGATCAGATCACAGGTGGACAGCTGTAACTAAATATAAATGTGACTGCAATAAAAACTCTAAATGACAACAAATAAAAGAGAAAAGAGATGTGACTGCACAGGAAAGTACTAGACTTTCTGAAGTGGACATGGATACATGTGAGCATGTGTATTATGGGTGACAAATTAGAGAAAAAAACTGAATGAATGAGTGGAGGAACATAAAAAGAACTGTGTTTATCTCTCTCTTCTGACATTTGCACTATCTATACAAAGGAGCTGATGCTTTTCTGACATCTGGCATTTGTGGTGGCCCAACAACTTACTAAGACACTGGTATTGTTTTTTCCTTTGATTTGTCACCCAGCTGTAACACCACAACAAGAGTCTGTGACCAAGGTGAGGTACCAATTAGCAATCTACTATATTCCCCTATTTTTCTGTCCAATTTGGTATGGCCAGCTCCCTTAAGCTGTAGTTTGACACTTCTAACTCCACTGTTACCCTGGGGAGGATGAAGTCAGTTCCCTGACACTTCTTTTCACCCTCCAGTGAGAAGCTTCTCAAGGAGGTCATATCTGGAGGTTTATACTATTTACCCAAGATCAGAAACAGGCCAGCAGCATCCCACCAACTAGAATACACAAATAAGGCAGAGTCTCACCTACTGGGAATTGAACCTCGGCCTCTGCAATCGCTGGCATCTGCATCACCTCTGTTGCCCCAAATTAGTTTTAGTTTTTAGTTTAGCAGGTGTAGCAGTCTGTCAAATGATATAACGGATGCACAATAAAGCAAAATCCTAACATATCCGGTGACACGAGTCTGATCATGATGACAAATGTGAACCTCATTCTGTGTCTCAGCATGACCTGGACACACTGTGGATACCTCTGGATACACTTAATTACACTTAATTATTGAAAGATGTCCACCAGTTTGGTAAAGCAACTGCTTCTATTGACGGAAGGAAGGAGGGAGAGGTGTACTAGATCACAAGCAGGCCTGATGTGACAGCGTGCTGGCCTTAATGTCCACCAAGCTTTGATTAAGACACCTTAATGAGATTTAGCCAGGGGTAAAAGGCACTGAAATAACTTTATGTGCCTGTGGATGAACACACAATGCACTCACATACTCCTACAACAAACTAACTTGGTATACAAAGGGGTATTCATCAGGCTATGTAGCTGAGCCATTTTCTCAAAGGGAGTTACTCAGAGTGAGAGTGAAAAGAAAATCAATGCCAATGTCTACGGCCAAACTTGATCATAACATCAAATGTGCAACAGAACTACAGAACAACATTTGAATGACAACTTACTGTGCAAACGTGCATTTAAAGTCAAATGACACAAATTATAATATAGTGTGGGGTCACAGGTGGATATCAAAACAGAAAGCAAATAACTGACTATAATAAATACACTTTTACTAAAAGTCTGAGACAAAACCTAGGAGGTAATGTTGTCAGAAGGTAGTCGAATGGACTGAAGCCAGTGGCTCATTATCAGCAGAGTTGCAACAGCCTCCTATGAAAGATCTTGCATGATAATGATGACAATGGTGATGTAAAGTGATGCAAGTGAGTTGCTACATCTACTGTTATATCCCGGACATCACTTTATATCTTAAACCCATCATAAAGATGCCACTGAAGCCAGAGTGTGAAGCAAACACTAATCACAGGATGCTCCGATGCACACCCATAATTCACTACAGAATAAAGGTTAGCAGGGAGTCGCATTTCTGCAAAGAGCTACTAAACTACCTGACTGCACATTACACAGAAACCAGCACTCCCTGTTAAACGTGCAGAATAGTGCAGTGGCTAACGCCTCATTACTGAGGCTAAACCTGTACTTAAACTGCTGGAGAGGTGCCTGGATGTGGTTAGGTCACCTGCCGCTCAGGTGAGGTGCACAATGTAGTTTGCTTGTCAGCAGATGTCACGGTCAACAGTATGTCTATATGAAGTCATGCATCACGTGAGAACTGGAGCAAAATGACAGACACTAAAAGAAAAAGGCGTAATCTCTATAACCACTGACCACCAACAATGGACTCACCCTATTAACATTCAAGGCAAACCTGTGTCAGCCCTGGTTGTTTGAGTCTGACAAGAGATGGGAGCTATGCTGACTGACAGTCTGGCTACTGAATTGCAACTGGACACATCTTCATCGAACAGCTGTGTGTACACATGTTTCTTTCCCTCAAGTAAAAGTATAAGGAGAAGGAAATGCCACAATAGCAAACAGGCTGCCACCACTTAATATTCTTGTAACCAACACAAATGTGAGCTAACTACACAGAAAACAGTTCTGTAAGCAGTCGTCCACAACCGTGCTGATACCAACAAGACAACTTTCTTCCGCCTTTAACATAAGGCTCTAACCCTTCCAGCCAAACAGCTAACGCCCAGCTCACCTGTATTTGTTGTGATGTAGGAATTCGTTGTTGAGGGACGTTACTCATAATCTAAACGCATACTACCGACATTGCCTGTGTCGAGCTAATTCGTGGACGGTGTTGACAGTGCGGATATATAAGCTCATTAGCGGTACCGGTGTAATCCCGGGCTGACTGCCACTTACAGCCGACAGCCTTTGAGGAAACACAGGGGCTGTGTGGCGTCCTCTCCCTGCCAGGCGGTGTGTTTACCTGCGGGGCTAACGCTAAAGCGCTAGCAGCCTCAAGCTAACTAGCCATGTCTATCACTGGAAAACAAAACTACTGTCACGATACACGGCGCTAACTTACCTCTGCAAACATCGTCTAAAAGGCTGTGCGTGCGGTGGCTCTGGCTAACCCCACCACATTGTAGCATGCGAGGATGAGGTTGTTTTCTCGGTTAAAAACGGTCGTATTTCCAATCTCCGTACTCTCTTCGGAGCGTCGCCATGTTTGCAAGGTTTATGTCTTGGATGCCCCGTTTCTGGACGCCGCCACGCTATTGGCTGGGAAGCGATGACGCAAAAACACACCCGTGACTGACTGACAGACACAAATGCAGCTGTAATCACGATTGACTGACCCAAATGCAGGAATATTTTAACTATTTATGATATATCTTAGCCAGGTTTACCACAGGGAAGAATTTACTGAACCATTGCACCTGCTCTGTAGATATTTGCACACTTCGTTTTAAAGTCAGATATGCGATATTTTTTTTATATATGTTTCATATTTGTATTGTAAATTATTTCCCATTTATGATTCTTGCCTTTTGTAGTACTATTTATTTTATTTCCTCTTACTATGTTTATTATGCACCCAAATACCATGGCAAATTCCCTGTATGCAAAAACTTATTTACATAATAAACCTGATTCTGATTCAGATTTCTGATAAAAGGAAACTCTAAATAAACTCAGGTCCTTCAGGAAAATTCCTTCACTGTGAGTTTCTTCTAAATATATAGATATAGAAACTTCAATAAGCGAATGCCCTGACTTGTCAGATGTTTATATATTCTGTTTAAGAGAAATATAAACACCTTCTTTTGAAAGAATGTAGCACTGTAAAACCTTATAGGAATGATTAAACCACTTTTTTTTTTTTAATAAAATGTATGGCCTTTTGTGTACACCATGTTCTATCATAGCCTATTGCCTGTATCATTGTTTTGTTTTCTGTATTTGTGTGTGATCTGTGCTCAATAAAGAGGAAAAAGGCCCAAATGCAATGACAATCAAGACTCATGACTGAACCAAATATGATAACAACATTTCCCCATTCTCATACATCTCGTATTCAGGTTTACCACAGTGAAAAAAAATCTGATACCAAATAATTAATACCAATATAGGTTTTATCACAAAATGCAACTTGTAGCCCAATTTAACAGTGATTTAATAGAAAGCTACATTTATGTCTTTACCAAAAAGCTACAACTGGTGTCTTCCTGGAACATTTAAGTCAAATAAAGTGCATTATTAGAAGAGTGCACAAGAAAGGCCAGAATGCAGTCAGATCACATGGTTGACCAGTGGCTACCTGCAAACCTGGTGCATAATTCATTGCCCTAGTGGCACCTTCATTAACACAATATAGCTTACATGTCCTGGCAAAGGGAGACTAATGTGGGGAGAACCACAAAGAGGAAGAGACAAAAGAGTCCCAGAGTGACTGAAAAAGATTGTTAGCTACAAGAGATAAATGTGTTGTTCTGATTCATGATACCTTTCTCCAGGTGGACAGAGCCCCAGCTGGGTCACACAGCAGACAAGGGTGAAGCAGAAAAAAGTTTCTGGCCCCTCCATGTCCAGGAGAGTGGAGCGCACTCTCAAGGGTGCCCCTTTTTATAACACCCAGGCACACACAAAAGAGACCTCTCCAGTCTTCTCATGTTTCTTGTGTCTCTATTTCCCTCTTACTTTCTGCTTCTTTCTCCGTCAGCCTGTCACACACTCCTAAACACACAGGTAAGTTATAATAGTAGAGTTTATTCCCAAAGTTTATGAAAAAAACAACTGATAGGCTAATTTCTGTTTTGCATACAGGTTAGGTTGGAATGATTTACCACACACAGGAAATAAGATAACAGAGGCATGCTGATCAACCTGTTTTGCAGGTGAGATAATCAATGCGCCATGTGACTGGCTTTCGAGATAATAAAAAAAGACATTTTCCTTAATGCAATGTCCTCAGTTCAAACCTCTGTATTGCACTTTCTCAGAAGGTCTCCAAAGACAGGTGATGCAGTGTTTTTAGAACAGCTCCTAGCATGCAGTGTTGTGTCTTTACCCATAGAGGTCACTATCAATCCATCCACAAACTCCCATTAGAGAGTGGATGCTCTAAAAAGAAGTATTAGTGAAATGTTTCAAATAAATAATGTAGTGCATGCCAATCACAGTACAGTACACATGGTTTCTCAAGCACCAACATTCCCTTTGAAAAAGAGTGCAAAAGCACAACAATGATCCACATCCATAAGATAAGAGGGAGAGGGGAAGTTGAGGTGCAAAGTGAGAAGATTTGAAGAAGAGAATATATATAGAGACCATTAATGCATGCAATAAAAAGGTAATGCATGCAGCAACCATCCACACGGTGGAAGACAACATGGCAATAGTAAGACTGTCACATATAGGCCACATATTGCTTCCTCCTTGCCCTGTCACCCTATTTAAATCTCTTCTGGAAGCTTTAAGCCATATTTAGGTGAGTATTTGCTATGAGAGCATACTAATTTACAGTGGAGATTTGAATTATAGATTATAAATGTTGAGTGGTTTGAGACATTTATATGTTTGTGATTGTAATTGACTGAATTCAAGCTGATAACCAGCTTGGATGAGTATTGCTTTACAGGTCTGGTCAGTAGAAGTTCACAATTTTTCAAGTCTGTCTTAAAACAACAGTCAGGTGCCCATACAGTGAAACAGTTTCTTTTCATACTGGCCAACGGATCCTTTCCTTAAGCAAATTCAGTGCACACGGTGGGGGGCAAAAGGACACAGTCCTCTTTCTGTGCAAAAATAGTTTCAAAAGTGTATCTGAAGCTTAAAGAAGGATTCAGCAGTCTTTATAGCATTTAAACCTTTCTTTTTGTTACTAGCCTTCCAGAAGAGGGGTTTTGTCCTCCATCACTTATACTGAAATTACTTTTGGAAGTGATCTTTAACTGGCTAGTATAAGCAGGAGGAACGATCACAGCAAGCAAAACCTCTCTTAGTGTTCATATGGGCACCTGACTATTGCTTTAAGATAGACTTGGAAAAACTGTACCTGTACTGTAGGTTTATCCTATTTGTGTCATGGATATAATACAATATTTTCTTATCTGTGGTACTGTGCTGTCCATCATGCAAATTATGGCTAGACTGGAGGTGTTCCTGGTGTGTATGTCTTACCTGCTCCATCACATAATAAGAAGGACTTTGGCTAAAGAGACTGTGCGTCCCTTATCTAGTATCACATTAGGTCATTTGTAGCCACTTGAACAGTTGTGGTGAATACTGAGACGGTACTCATTTTCCCCTGCTTTATAAGTAAGACATAAAATTAACATGTTTGCATTTCTCTGATGACCATATGTCAAGTGAGCTGCTTAAAAGGTCAAAATGTATTAGAGATTTAAATGAGTTGATTTATTTGGATACGTACGACACTCTCGTGCTCTGCTTAGTAAGCCAATGAGTGGCCTGAGGCGCAGTGTCCATGGTGGTTTGGCCTGCAGGAAGAAGACCTGTGTGTCATAGTTCAGAGGTCAGGAGGCGGAATGTGATGGCCAATGGTAATTTAATTACAAAGGAAATGCGTGTTATTGGTACATTATCTTTCAGCCTGGCACATTGCTTTTTAGGATTTTCTAAACCCATAAAGCATAAAATTCAACTGAGACACTCAAAATATATCTTTTGATTAGAGAGATATGGGGCTTTATACACTACTTTTGTATTGTGACATTGTTCTGAGAAAGATCTCAATTTCAACAAAGACCTCAACCAATAAAAGGTGTGTCTGTAGCCATATTTTGGCAGGAATATAATTGTTTTGGAACATACAGAGAGTGGAGAGGTGGAGTATTTTGGTGGAGTGGTTTCAGAGGAATCCACCGAATTCAGGCTGACTACAACCACTGTTTTCTCTCTAGGAGGAAACTATAAACTTTTTACCGCCACCTTGGGTGAGAGTTTGATACTTAAAAGATATTTTAGGCAGAATGTCACTTTAACTTATAAAAACAGATAAATGTTTTCACCTGACAGAAGAGAGAACATTAATTATGTGGCACAATGTGTGTCCAGTGTGTTGCATGTTTGTGTGTGTTGGTACTGAGCCTGTGGTGGCAGGGTGACAGAAGGTAGATTAGGGGTGACACTGGCTAAATGTTTGCAGATGAGGGCTCCCAATATCTAATCACCCCGGTAACAAGGGTCACCAGGGTAGGCCAGTGGGCCAGGTAGCCCAGGGCACTGTGGGTATTAATGGGTATTTACTCCAGAATCAACCGTTTTGCGGGTATGTGAATGCATGCATGATGCTGAGTGTGTGTGTATGCCCTCAATTGTCCTTGGACCACTCGCCTGAGGGGAAAGTGTGTTTGGCTGATGCTCTTCCAAACTCCACTTAACACAACCTTCTCCCCCCTGACCTCCACATAATCCACACAGTCACAGCCCTGGCAGGAGGAGGAGAGTGGACACTTCCTTGTGCACAACATCTGTGTCATTTTAGTGCTGTGTGTAGCTTACATCCCTGTGGTCCAGTACTAACCACGGTCACACATGCACAACATAAGCTAGATAGTTTACTGTCCTTGTGGGGAACATATTTCTCAGTGAATAACATTTGGTATGACATTGAACAAAGACAGAATAAGAAGCCACATGACTCTTCAGTACAGACAGTAGACCCCACAATTACATAACAGTACTGCACAGAGGTCCCAAGAGTGTTGCACACTAACCACCGTTCATTATAAAACTGAGAGAAAGAAGTAAGAAGAAAAACAACAGGTAGAAGGACTTTAATTCTGCTGATGCCTGAAAGTCAGTGTGTTAAGTATGAAACAGGCCTGCATTCAGCGCTTTTGTTTTAAGCAATTATTGACTCCATTTACTTATTTATTTAGTTTTAGACCTTGTGTGCACAAAGCAGTTTCAATATTTCTTATTTGCTCAAGGATGCTTTGACATGTGG